CCTAGATTTGTTCATCAGACTTCAGCAGGTTCTGCGTGAAGGGATGTCAATTCCCACCAGAAATGTTTATCCTTATTTTTAATTTTTTATTGCGTCTTAACACAGTACACATGGTACATACCAAACTATGTGCTTGTAATATTCAGTGTCTGTTACAAGACATCATCCAAGCTATTTTGGTACCCTGGGCATGTGGAGCAGGGAAAAGGAGGGTGTACAGGTGGGGGGTGGGGGTGGAAGGCAGCAGGAAGGCTTCTGAGAAAGTCTTACCTCACCCAGAATTCAAAGACCCTGGGTGCTGTTGCAGCGATATAGGAGCACTGCACGTGGGCTCTAGCAGCCAACCCAGCAGGGGCTCAGGGCTGCTGTTTCCACATGCCAGCTTCAGCAAACCCTGGAGCCATAAGTCCCTGGAGGCCATCATTCTGGCTCCCCCCTAAATCAGTGCCTGGAGTGGATGCCCTCTGGCACAGCTCTTGTTATGTTACTGCTAACATCTTAATTATTTTTTCATAAGATCTCCTATATTTTTTAATTATAATGCCTTCCTTGAATGGAATGGCTGTAATGGAAAACTTTCAATAGTAAATACATTATCATGTTATTCAGGAGTGAGATATGATTGTTGCAGCATTTCCATAGCGTAGACTATGGCAAGCAGTGCCGACTCCTAGCCCTTTCCTGGAAGACATCTTTCCTTTTTTTTAACTGCATTCATCCCTAGTTAGTAGACTTCAAAATGGATTAATGTAACATAGGTTGAACTCATGTAAATCCACTCTTGAAGATTTTACTGGAGCAAAGAAAAAGCTGACTAGCTGAATTTAGATGAAAAATTAATTCCTTTCAACTGCTTTAGAGTCCTTTGGAATTTTGATAGATAGAAGCTTTTTGTATCCTGAATTGAGCATAACAAAATATATTTGTACTGCAGAACTGACTGACTTTACAGAAATTTGAAATGCCAATTTCACATTTGTCTCTCTGAGACACAAATTAAATCATCAGTATTCTTTTTTGGCTGTTAGTGTTTGTGCCTTCACCATGAAAGAACATTGGGGTATCAAATATACCAACCCCCCCCGCCAAACCCCACCCCAAAAACAAACCTCCAGAAAACCCAGGGAGTTTGAGATTATGGTTTTTTAAATCATGTGAAATAAATCAATTCGATTCACTTCAAGTACTTCGAATT